GGCAGAGGGCGATCCCTGTTACTGCCGCCTCACCTGCAGAAGCCTGGCTTCACCTCCACTCGATATTATGTCTCTTCCCCCTCTGTGGGTGTGTAATGGCGCTCCAGGCTGGCCTAGTGGTTAGGTGGGTTCTGCTGTAGCTGAAAGGCCATATGTTTGATCCCTGAAATAGCCCTGGAGTGAGGTGGTCTGAAGTAGGGCTGCTCGATTATGGCAAAAATCATAATCTCGATTATTTGGGTCAATAATTGATATCACGATTATTAAAAACAATTATCCGTTTACTTTGAAAACATCAATTTATTGGAGAACAAATGTTTAACAGTATGTTTTTAACAGTTGATTACCCTGAACTTTAAGTATAATTCAACTGAAAAACCAAAAAAAAAAATAAAATAATAATAAAAAAATAATCGTTTTATTTCGATTGCGTTGTTTTTGTAATCGTTGCAAGCCATAATCGTAATTGCGATTAAAATACGGTTAATTGAGCAGCCCTAGTCTGAAGCTAGACTATAAATTGAATGGCAAAAACATCAACGTTGGCATCACTCGCACAGAATCAAACGTAAAGAGATTATTTAAAGAGGATGCAATGCAGTCATGGAGATGTGTGAGCGTCATGTGCGACTCATTCTTGATTTGTGGATCTTAATAATTTTTGGAAACAATGGTTTCTTGATTTCAGTCAGAAATGCACTTTGTCATTCCAGCTGGTGAACACCACATTTTATGAGCTGAATTGACAGCTGTCCCCGGCTGAATTTATCAGCTGTGGCTAGACATTTAAGCATGGTAATAAATGGACAGACAGCAGCAGGCGTATTTGCTGACAGGGAAGAGAAATAAAAACCATGTGGACTGCCATAATTATTCAACTTCTGGTGTTTCTGCCACTTTCGATGACCTATTTTCTCTCAATTCAACACATTCTGTCTTATCTCTGTGGTCTGCTGCCTAAATATCTGTTTTCCCACCTGCTTTGTTGCCTCCCTTACTGTCCTATTTCCTGTCTTCAATGAAGCAGTGATACATTAAAATGTACACTATCATCTCCAGCATGATATATAATTCAAAATAGAAGCAAAGACAGTTATATTGCCTTTGCAGTCACATATTTTATTTGTATGTTACTCAGTTTGGTCGCACCTCATTTACCTCAATGCATTTTTAAGGAGTCCAAATAAAACTGGGGTCAGCCATTTATCCTTCTTCCCGCTCCTGCCAAAAAATTCTCCTTGGTTTCTCTTTTTATCTTGCCTTCCTTTCCTTTTTTCTCTCTCTTGCTCCATTCTTGCCTCTCTATTGCTTTACACCAAGGTTTCGCCGCAGGCACTGTGCCATCTGCTTTTTACATTTTTAGAATGAGGAGAACTTGTGAGAACAGTGTGTTTATTATTCCATTGTGGTTAATTATTCAAACTCTGGCTCTTTGGCTTTCCGTTCGGAGCGGTCTGCTATCTGGAGGCTTTCGCAGAGACACAAAGCTCGCTGACAATCTGTGAAGAATCTGGAATTTGGAATCTATCGTTCCCATTCAGTTCTGCCCCGGTCAGCAAGGGACAGCATGAGTCGGGACAGAATAAGACGCTTACATTGTCCCGTCTATAAGAGTCAACTCTGACCTCTCTGCTGGTGCTGAGAGTCACTAAGACCTTATAACCACATGGGAGTGAGTGAACAAGCAGGAATTATCATCGGGGACGTCACTGTAATATCTATAGAAATCAAAAATACATTTCTGACGAGACTGCTTTATTATTTTTGGCTCAAGGAAGTTAACAAACTGTGTTTACATAACCTTTACAATGTAAACGTTTACCTTTACCACGTGTATCCACAAATTAGTGTGACACAGGTGCGCTCCCAGAAAACCAATAGCTCTACACGTTGGACTACAGCTAGGAGGATCTACGAGCAGAATGTTTGAAATGTTTGTAGGTAAATGTTAGTAAGAACAGTGATTGCTGACTGCGTCAACAACCTTTAGGCTCATGGTCACAGTATTGAGAATATTCACGGATACTTTGATATGACTTCTTGTATAATTATACAGTATGAAATTAAACACAAATATGAGTCTCTGTCCCGATGGATGCTATACCAACCATGCGATTAACTGTTTTAATGATACTTATTATTACTACAGGAACGCAACATGTGTGTGCTACTTTGCAGCTTAAAATTGTAAAAAAGGATGTCAATCTTATTTATTTGTACTTTCTTAAATGGTTTGTTTCTGTGGATAAATACTCACTGCCATTCCTCACTTCAATTGTCCAGGTTCAAGCGAACTGGACCTCCCTTATTCTCTAATTACTCCGGAAGTTTTCCTGAAACACCTTCCACAAATATTAAGGCCTATTTGCTTTTTAATTTCTCAATTATCACCGCAGATGCACCGAGAATTAACCGGGGACCTCTCTCCTATCAGTGTAATGAACGGGATGTTAACTTGCCTACACGATAATCAACAAACTAGACACCCAATTAAGCCCATTTGACCCAGCCATAATTGGGTATGGACGAGAACGCCACCTTCTCAAGCACTTTCTAATTGCTTCCAGTATTTCAACGTTTTATTGATCTAGTGTGTATTGATCTTCCTTTTTGCACAAGCATGAGGGTTTATTGGCTCATTAGCCTATGTTGTGGTTGTAAATGCAGTAATGTAGGCGTAAAGCCGGCAGGGGTTAAGGTTCAGCATCGGGTGTAATGGCATCCGTTTCCAGATCCCATCTTGTCTATTGAATGTTTGCCATTGTGTTTTCTAACTGTCTTGTCATGTGGTCGATGTTGTTGTTTTTGACACAAAGCGCCTTAATATACCAGGAACACAAGGATTTTTGTGTCCTAATTAAAAATCTTTCAATGGTGGTTGATTGCTCCAGATTTATTGGTCTGGTTTTGCTACAGAACCAAGTATTAATATCCTTACTGTATGAGAAATATATCTTTTTTCTTTATTTCACTGCTGCTGATAATAGAAAAAAGGAAGTAAATTGGTTATAAACCTTCAGAAAAGTTGAAAATGTTTAACTTGTTGTCACAGTCTGGCTCTGTGTTCATATGCCCTCAGAGATTTTGTAAAATCTGGACTTTATATTCTGGGTTTTATTGATTTTATTTGCGATTTTTACAACTGGGTGGCTAACGTTAGCTAGCGGCCTTCATGAAACTAGGGAACGGCTGATTACAATATAAATAAGCATTTTGACTCTGTGTATTCAACTTTTATTTCAAGTAAAAACATACCACTTTTGATTCTCACTCACAGCTTGTCCGTAAAACACCAAGCCTTGCGTTGCTCACTATAGCAGAAGCTTCACACATTAAATACAGCATGGTGAGAACAGAGGGGTGGAATATGATGAGATTTTGTGCAGACTTCATTCATTTTTGATTATCCTGTTATCACAAGCGCATGGCTACGTGTTGATTCATTTATGTAGGGTTGAAAATGCCTCTAGGGAGCGAGGGCCACCTGAGGCTGCATATATAGAGTATTGGGCCGAAATGTGATCAATACGATCGAACTGATCTATAAGTATTTACACGTGTGCACCTCAACTGGGATTGATTTTATTTGATGACATTAGTGGTTAGTGTGTGGGTGATAAGTGCATCCTTAATTACTCTGTCAGTGATCGAGTACACGGCTCTGCTTCCACTCTGTAGGTTTTTCTAACATTAATCACCGCAGACCACCATGCCCATCTGTCTGTCCGGCAGCATTTGCACCTCGCTGATAAAAGCCAACAAGCTTTTCCAACAAGCTTTTAGGTATTCCGCTGTGGTGCTGAGGAGCCTTTAATGCTCCGTCTGTCTCCAAACATGACAGAGTCTCTGCTTAATTGCGGCGTGCAGGCAGCCCTTTTGTTTTTTTGCAGAATCAAAGCTCTCCGGGTTGAGATACTCCCAACGGGGGGATGAGGGGGTTTGGCACGGGGTTGAAAACGCACACTAAGAGAAGTTGGCATGTTTAGATTATTAACCTGTTAAACCCTGAGCCTGTTTTTCAGGTTTCAGGCTCGAAAATGACATTCCCAGAACAAATGACCATATCTTCCCGTCATGTCAATTATACTACGTCTTTTCATTCAGGTTATATTACCTCTTATAATTCAGTATATTACTGAATGTCCTTAAATTTTTTTCCAAAAGGACACCGCCGTTTTGTACCGAAGATTATCAAATAGAGATGGGTTAGAGGCGTTGTAGTATTTCTCTTCGAAGTGGTCTTACTGTTTGTTCCGGCCCAATTTGACATTCGGTTCCAGGGCCGCCCCTGGACCCAAAAAAAAAGTGCCTGTGAGCGCAAGTCCCCTAGAATATAAATTCTTGGATAAATTACACAATATGGCTTAATTGCCTTTATTAGAGTTCGATTGACTGCTATATTCTGGTAAAAATCTGTTTTGTTTGGTTCAGAGTATTTTCGTAGATTTACTGGGGAATCGCTTTTAGCGATTGCCTTGTAACCGTAGTGAACAAAACGTAGTTAGAACTATGTCCCATGAATAATATACCCAACATTAAACCTAAGGATTTCGAAAATCAGATGATTGGGTAGTAGGTTCCAATCAAAAGTGATATTCATCCGATGTTTTATAAAAAAACCTGCCTGTGAGTATTAAATGTCAAAAAATGGTACAAGATAGACTTTAAAAGAAATTTTATTTTTTGTAGATATAACTTAGACTGAAAGATGTAGGTGGTACTTGTCCAAATAGTATGAAGCTCTTTTTCTAATAATTAATT